CAATTAAATTTTTTTAAAAAAATTACAAAAATAAAATATAACAGCATATACCACTATTGATGGACTAATTTACTTATACGATATCTTTTAATTACACAAAAGGATCAGAAGTTTCAACTTTTGAGATTACAATCGAAAGATTAATGAACCTTTAATTAGTGGCAAAAAATAATTAATTAATTAATTAAAAAACACAAGTTAGGTAAATGATAAGCACCAATCTGAAGTTTGACTTCTTAAAAATAAGACCAGGTTAAATGGCAATTAATGCAATACTCAAACACAAATGCAACCCACCAGATAAAGTAAAAAAACTTCATATATATATATATATAAAATAAAAAGACTATTTCGGATTTTAATATGTTAAAAATGTAATAAACTTTATAAAATTTAATTTAATTTATTCATTACACTTTTATTATTAATAAATTAAATAATTAGTTAATTAAATTATATCATTAATTTATAATATGCTAATAAAATAATAAATTTTACATGTTTGAACTCATGATTTTTAAATGTAATATAATAGTTTTAACCAATAAATCATAATATTATATATATATGCTTAAATTGGTAATATATTTTTATTTTTTTGGTTAAACCATTATAATATTTTTTTATAAATAAATATTTATATTTTCAACTTGTTCATTATAATTTTAGTGACACATTAGCAAATTAATTCATTAATCAATTAAATTAAGCATTATAGACACAAAATAGCAAACTTTATACCTTAAATGAATTTAAACTCTTAATCTTTAAATAAAACATACTGAAATTAACTACTATTACATGATATATATAAATATAGCCTGAAATGAATAATACATTTTTCTTTTTCTCATTAAACCTTTATATTCTTTTTTTTTTTTTTTTCCCTCTAAATAACTACTTGTCCTCTCAAAATTGTTTCAAATAAACCACTCCCTTTAACAGATTTTAACTGGCTGCTAAAGTCAAAGCCACGTCGGACACGTTTAGGGAAGTGTTGAAAGAAATTTCTTTTTGGAACTGAAGGGAATTTCATTAACAAAAACTTCAAAACAAGTGGTTGAGAAAAGTTTCATGGATTGCATCAGATTCTATACGTACGGGTGCCCGACGTGCAAAAGAGTAGGCTAAACTGGCCTCTATGGGGAGCCACTGCAGAGCACCATCCAGTTAATTGCTTGATTTTCAGAATATCAGATTGAAGAAGCAGAGGAGGCATGGGATTACACTGGCGAAGGGGTTTATCCAGTTGGAACCTGCGTAAACGATGAAGGTGTCGAGCTCAATTCAATGGCCTTCTGAAAGACAAAAGAGAGGACCTTCGCTTTAGCCTGCATGGGGACGCTTTTAGTGACCGTAGAGAGAAAAAAGGGTGACTTAATTTCTGTTATCGTAAATAAATTATTTACAAAAATTTTAAACTATAAAAGTTTATTTAGTCTCGAAAATACTATATACACACACACACACGTATATATATATCAACAGTATAGATTCTGACCACCTTTCATTTTCTCTCATTTACTTATTTTTTAATTTTGAAGAAATTGTCGTTTGTGTAAATTTCTTTTGAGGGTTTGCCGGAGCAAACGAGGATGATGACGAAATCATCAGAAGAAAAAGAATTATGTTAGCCAAGTGGATGACACGTGGCAAATGGATAACAACACAAATAAAGTAATGATACATTCACCAATTGAGGTCTTCCTTCGTTTTGCAGCTATCCGAAGCCGTGCGTTAGATACTGAACAAGAATAAGATATGGCGTTGACGGTGTTCTGTTCGAAAGAAAATTTGTGGATTCAAAAGAGAGAGAAGAAAAATAAACAGATCGCCCACCGTGGGGCTCGAACCCACGACCACAAGGTTAAGAGCCTTGCGCTCTACCGACTGAGCTAGACGGGCTTTGATGCTTTATTCTGTTTATGTATTATAGAAAGCAATGGCGAGAACAAAATCATTTGTTTTGGACACACAGTCGGTTTGATTAATAAATATATTAAACATATATTACTTTAATCATGCAAGATAAAACAAGAGCCAATTTTCCATTTTATACGCACATGCTGGTTGATTGGTAAAAAAAATATATTTAACGTTACGTATTGCTGTAAATCCTCACAACATATGATACGACCAAAGTGACGTTAATATCTTTGACTATTAGAACTGACGAATTTGCTGTGAAGTTTACGACCATCCCAATTAAGTAAATACGTCGCGACAATTTCCTAAAATTTTCTATTTTAAATTTATTTTCGCCCTGAATATATAAAACAAATGCATCCGAAAGTAGAAACAAATATCTGATTCCGAATTAATTTGTTTTTAATTAATTAAGAAACCAATGGCTGACAGAATAAATTCAAACTGCATTAAAATTTAATGAGATACAAAATACATTATTTATATTTAACTAAAAATTTAAAAAACTTTAATTTTTATAATTATAGGGAAATTTACATTTTTATTATAATTTAAATAAATAAAAAAATTATAATAGTTGTTTGAAAGTGGAGATAAATGAGGCTACAGTAATAGATGGAAATGATTGGCGAATGTATGGCCCAGTGGTGATTTTTATATTTTGGGTGGATTTCAATCCGAGACCACCACAAATTCGAGTAGGGACCTTCCAACTTAATCAGGTAAAACCGTATCAATTTATCATATTAGTATATACCTAATATAAATTATATATTTTTTATTATTAATTTTAAATATTTATTAAATAACACTGTCGAATCTTATTTTATTTCTACTATTTATTTATTTAGTTGGTCCGACACATATTGTACTTTAAGTTATGTAAAATTTGTAAATATTTTTAAAATTTAGTTTACATATTAAAATTAAAATTTTTACTAGTATGTGAGGAAACATAGTAAATTTTAATTTTCTAGACCAATTTAAATTTGAAAATAGTTAGTAATTTACTAAAAGGTATTTTCTTGATGCCTCTCTACTATTTTTTCCCAACTTCTTACATCAAATACAATTTCTTTTTTGTAAAAAACAAATCCTAATATCTTCAAAAAATTCAATGCATTTGTTAATCAAGTGAGAGATATCAGTACATGATTAGAAATATATTGATGTGTAAAATTTAATTAAATTGAATTAAAATTTAATTTTTTTAATATGTTAGTAAGACTGTAATAATTAAAAATTTTGAATTAATATTTTATTTATTTAAAAAAAAATGATAACAGGCTCTGTTTTAGATTAGCTTCATTTTGTCAACAAAGACAAAATTAGATAGTTAACATTTTGGAATCTTGGGTTGTGGGGTTAGGAGTAGATTTATCTTACGTATTGATAGATGAAGACTTTTTTTTTTTTTTTTTGACAACTTGTACGCACTCTTAATTAAATTTTTATCTTAATTTACCACAATTTATTTATTTTTTCTTAATAACCAAGTTGCCCTGTGACATAATTACGTACCACATGTAATTAATTTCTATTTATTAACCAATTATAGGTTAATTAACTTCTAATCTGCTGGAGTAGTACGCGTGATTTGGGTCGATGATGCACTTGCATATAATTTCAAGTACTCCACGTCATGAGATTCCCACTTTAATTAATTAATCATGGTTTATAGTTTCTAAAACAACTGAACGTAAATAAATATAAAAGCATAAAATATATGTTTTATTTAATATTATTCAAATGTGTGGTGAAAAACTACCCAGCATATCAACAGGCTTTTAATTAATACGAGGAATTGGCATATACTGGGCGCTACAAAACGTGGTCATTAGGAACGTGATGTAACTATCAATTAATATTTATTAGAAGGTGGTAAAATTAAATTTATATAAACATTTTATGTATAATTAATTTTAATTAATCATATTGGGACCAATTTCTATTATTTCAAGTAAAATTGTTGTAATTTTTTTTTGTTTAAATAACTGTAAATTTATAAATAAAATTTAATTTTGCTTCCAACATAACATTAAACGCATAGCTGTATATTGTTCTGTGGAAAAAAAAAAAGAAGGAAAGAGTGAGATTTTACGATATCACTACTCAGACGGTAAGTTCTATTTGAGTCCACTAGATATTGGACTTGGTAGTCTTTTCACTTACGTGGCTAAGATAATCGTACCCGAAGAAGTACAAAGGGATCAGCAAAAGCAGCGGACCAAACCAATCCAACGGTCCACGTCAATCAAAAAACGGAATCCGACGGTGTAGCTACGAGAGAACAAAGAGAAGCGGAAACACGGAGCCGCTCGTGCCCAGAGTTGGGAAGATATTCTCCCCACCTCCTACCCCTTCTATTGGGACCCACCCCACCCACCTAAAAAGAAAGTAAACTCATATATAAATAACACCCTCAGCCTAACCACGGTTAACTTAACCCACCCCACCGGTTAAAAACTAACCATCTCCGTTTCTTTATATCGCTCTCTATCTTCCGTCTCCTGACAACCTCACTCTCTCTTCTTGTACAACAAATATTACCAGTTTGGTACAAAGCGTATGTAAAGCTCTGTTCTGTGCTTGAACTTGGAGAAATAGAATAATTCAGCCAGTCATAATCAATCATCGAAAGCTGCGTTATTTTTCAAGATCTTAATCTATTGATTTCAATCGGACGGTGAGAAATGAGCTGCAACGGTTGCAGAGTGTTGAGGAAGGGTTGCAGCGAGAATTGTGTACTGAGGTCTTGCCTGCACTGGATCGAATCCGCTGAGGCACAGGGCAACGCCACCTTGTTTCTCGCCAAGTTTTTCGGCCGCAGCGACCTCATGTCCCTCATTTCCGCCGTTCCCCAATCCCAACGCCCTGGTAAATACATATAAATATTTTACACGCACAGTAACTTACGTATCCACCGCATGTGTGTATATATACATATGTAGCTAGAGAATATGTATATATATATGTCTATATGCTTAGTTTCTTTCGTTTGTTTGTTTCAGCTTTGTTTCAATCTTTGTTATATGAGGCGTGTGGGCGCACCGTGAATCCAGTGAACGGAGCGGTAGGGCTATTGTCGACCGGGAACTGGCACGTGTGTCAGGCGGCGGTGGAGACGGTGCTAGCGGGAGGGCCATTGAGACCGATACCGGGGGTGTTAACCGGAGCTTGGACGGCAAACAGTAACGAGTCGTCGGACGGATTCAGTGCGGTAGCGTGCACCGGTAGAAGCGCGTACCCGCAGTCGTCGAGGCCATCAATCACGAGCCATGCGTCGTGGGAGGGTCGTGAGCCGTCGGATCTCGGACTGTCACTGACGCTGAGAGGGAGGCGGGGAAGAGGAAGGAGTTGTTCGCAGGTGGAGCGGCCGAATGTGTATCCACAGCCGTCGTTTTACTCCGGGGAGTCGGAGGTTACGACGATGACCATGAGGACGACGGCGAGTTTCGAAGGCGGCGGCGATGATCGGAGGATGCGAGGAGTATCGGAGAGAAAGCTTTTGAATCTTTTTGTGTGATTGAGAAAGGAGATTTAAGAGAGAGGAATGAACGAATGGAAGAAGGTTCAGTGTTTTTGATGTGCCGGCGATGTAGTGAATAATGGAGAGGTAAATCATAATTACCATAGAATTTATGTAATGCACTGTAACGCCTTTTATTTTTATTTTTTTCTTTTTCTTGAGAGGAAATACAAAATCACCGCTTTCTATACTGATTTACCATTTTTACCTGGTTGTCCAAAGAGAACCTAAGCAGCATAAATTAGAGGAAATAGAATTAACAGATAACAACATAAACCAGGGTATCTCAGGATATGATAAAGAATGGGGTTGTTGATAAGAGCAATGAGTGTAAGTGTCAGTTTTTGTGAACAAGTTGTCAGCTTCTAGTAGTGGCTTATTGTCCGGACCGTACACCTCCAAACTTGGGTTGCAGCTTCTAGGCTATCTCAGGATATGGGTACATATATTTATATTTAATTGCATCTCCCCTGACTTATCACTGTTGAGTACACACACCTGAAGTTAATTAGGATATTACAGTATTAATGATTTTTGTTACACCGACAAATACAAACATTTCTAATCGTATCAATTATGAAATTAAATTTGGAGAATGCATAAAACCTGCCACGAAAATAAAACAACTGATTGCCAAGGAACAATTCATATGAAATTATAATAAACTTTTATCAATTTTAATAGAATTTGGAATGCATAATTCTAATTCTCTTTTTTAGTATTTCATAAACTTTTTTAGTTAGAATGAAGATTGAATTTGTCAATAAATTTTATCATATTTTAAAATTAATTCAAAACATAAGGTAAATATAAACATACAAATTAGTATATTAAAATTAAAAGTTTATTCCAAATTTCCACCAAAAAATATAAATTATTACCACCAGTAGCAAGAGTTTCGCCCCGACACTTTTTCTTTTTTGTTTTCATTTGCAAAAATTTTGAACCCGCAACTGCTGTATTCATGTCTCTTTGCATGTATATATATGCGTGTGTGTATATAAAGAACTATCTGTTCCATCTCTTAGGAGAACCACATTGGGCAAAAAGCAGGCTACGCCTAGGCGTTGGCGTGATAACTTCAATGACGAACGAAATTTCACACACGATGATCATAATCAACAGCTGTTAGTGACTATATTCTCTTGTTTTGTTCTGATACACACACACACACATAGTTAATTAGCTTCGCTCCCATTACAATAAAGAAGTACAAGCAGGATAGCTATTTGCTAAATTAATATATTACGAGGGTACAACAATTAATCTACTCGTGGAATAGGTCTTAAATCTTGATAATTAAGAAAATGAATGAACTCATATTCATAAAAATTAAATTGGCTGAGCAAATGGTCAATTAATTATTATCATCTATATAATGGGTAAAAATATTTAATCTTTTATCGTAATATATAATTTATTTCTTTCTTCTTTTTTTTTTTTTTAATTTTTAAAAAGTCATATTTGTATTACATTGAAGAGGAAACTATTAATTAATTAATTAAATTAAACTAATAGTTATTTGTTTTAGAAAGGTGGGCTTTTTAAACACGAAGTCAGCCGATGGTTGATTGGTTGGTGGTCTGACCGCAGCCAACCAATCAAAGAAGTGACACTGAAGAGAGGAGCCGTGTAAAATATGGCATATTGGACAATTTAAATTTCTTCAAAAATTTATTTCTTAAAAAAAAAAAAAAAAAAAAATGGAGATCAGTAGGGGGAGCAAGTGGGTCCCACTAAATGATAATGATAAAAATAAAAATAAAAATAAAAAAAAAACAGGAGAAAAATGGTGCGGGGCACGTCAGCCTGATGCTCCCTCTAGTCCCTCCTCCGTTGGAAGTGGGTTCCACGGCATCACGCACCAATTTGTTTAGACAAAACAAGAAAAAAGTCGTCATTCTGAAAAAACCACGCTGGACCCCACTCCTCGCAAATCAATTTTAATTTTAATCTCACCATATCGCTTCGCCGCGTCTGCAAGAATATTCTGTTCCGGGCCCACCACCAATACGACGTCGTTTACACGGACGGATGAGTTGCGTTTGCCTCGGATACAAATATAATAGCCATCTTGATATTCATACATAAAATTTTTTGACCTCTCTGCCATAACTTTTTTCTTTTATTACACGTGCTCCCATTTAATTATAATTTTCTTCTTAAAAAAATACTACAGGATAAGAAATGAGAAGAGCCGAATAGAATAATATAAATTCTTTTGCAAAAGTTTTTATCCACTCAAAAAGATCTTAGAAAACCTTCGCCTTTAAATTTTTATAAATATATATATTTTTTTTCAATTTAGTCCTTATAATTTAAGTTTTATCATTTCATAAATCTATTAGTTTTTTGAGAATATTCATCAGATTTTAAATGTGGAGTTTCTTAAATTAAAGAAAAAGTTATGAGATAATAACGTAAAGAATATTAGTATTATATTAAACTAGAAAAAAAAAACCCAAAGAAAGAATACAAAACAAAAATTATAGTTTATCTTAAAATTGTAAACGTTAACATCGGACAAATTCATTAGTATGTTCTCATGTAATATCCAGCATCGAAATTTAGCTCGAAATTAATTTAACATTAAAAAATGTATCAAAAATATATTTTTAAAATTAATAAATTTTAATTTAATGAAGAATTATGAAAAAAATAGGTTGATGATAAAATTGAAAATGATTTTGAAAAAAATAAGTATAATTTTGAGTTCGGATGATATTTTTAAAAGAAAAATCAGAAACTATAGATCAGAATGCAATTAAGAAAAATTACGCCACGTAGGACCACCAAGTCAGCAGTCTCGACGAACCGGAGCGCGACGCATGGCAAGGCACGTTAACTCGGTGCCACGCCAGAGGCCACACTTGTAACGACCCCAGAAATTTAAAAGAAAATGTATGTATTAAAAATTTTAAGTGCAGAAGTGAAATAAAAATTTTAATTAACATTACTTACATAATAACTAAAAACGTCTTCAACGTGTGAAAGAATAAACTAACTAAGATAAATACTAGTAATGAATGCTATAAATAAAACTATGAAATCCTTAGGTGTCTACTCGCCGTCTTCCTGCAGGACAGGTTTGGGAACCAAATCATTCTGATCTGAAATGGTTAAATAAGGAATGAGCTACACTAACACAGTAAAGACATCACACTATCTCACTGTCACATAAGTAAAAGTTGGTAGAAAATAAAAATAACTAATGGAGCATAATTCATGATAAATTCATTTATCAATAATAAAACCCTTTACTGCCCACTTACCTCGGTGAGCTTCATGAAAATAACATAAAAAACCAATAACATTATAATATCATGAAAGCATACACGCTTTATAAGATAACACATATCATACCTTTGTATTTCAATCATTAGACAACATATTTTCCTCTTTTATCAGGCTACTAGTATCCATGGAGATCCATAGGGGTCCCCGCTACACGTGAACCATTCACATTTATAACTTGATTCAGGGTCGTCTCCATACCCCGTCCGATATGGGCGCCAAAAATCATAAACCTCAATACCCCGTCCGGTATGAGGGTAAAATGGGTCGTCCCCATAGCCCCTTCGGTATGGGCGCCATAACACATAAGGTCTCCATACCCCGTCCGATATGAGAGACCACGTTCTCGGTAGGGTTCCCTACGGACCCAGTCCATCCATCATCTTCCGGTCTAGTTAGACTGTCGACATCATCCATTTATCAATTCACATACTTTTTTCTATTTTTCTCAGTCTCAATTATCCAATCAAACATTAACACGTAAACAAGTAATGAACACCAAACAAGACAGCAACGGGTTCTCAATAATTCAAACCATAATAAACGAAACCGTGATTCATGCATACGAAACCATAAAATAAATACATCAAATATCATACTGCATTTAAAACTGTAAAAAAAATCAAACAACAACTAACTGAAAAATATATCAGATTCGGGCTCCATTAGCAACCTTAATTAATTATACACAATCCATGAAATACCGTTTTATTATTTATTGAGCTTTAATACCGTGATAGAAAATACGATGAGAAATCCTTACTTGTTTCGGGTTCTAAAATTGGGTTCTCACTGTGCCTACGGGATGTCCCTAAATTCCCTGAATTTTTTCCAGAAAACTGAAACACACTTCCGATACATGCACGTGTCCCAAAAAATCCTAAATCAGACCCAGGCCCCTTTTCAATCAATATCAGAATTCCGGCACGGCGGCGATCCGCCTTGGGTTGGCCATTTTCGGCTGAATTCGGCCAAACTTGCATTAGTTCATGCGATAAAACAACCCTAGGACCATCAGTGGACCAAAAAATCACGAAAAATCGAGACTTACCAGTGGTGGAGCTCTCGGGTGTGGCAGCTTCTCCGGTGCGAGTCACGATTTGATGTTTTGCTCTGGTCAACCTGTAGAGAAAAGGACGGTGATCATAGTGGTGTAAAAATTGCATTGACCGGGAACCGGGAAGGGCCTCATCGGAGGCAAAAACTGAGGGAAGTTGCTGCGCCGCCGCTGGACTTCGGTTCTGTTTTTCAGCCGAATGGCTGATGGTTTGGCTCCGATTTGACCATAGGTAGATTCAGCATCGAAAAACGAGCCAAGGGGAGAAAATTTACCTCGTTTGGCAGTCGGAAAATCCTCCGGTGCGGCAGCGGGTGGCGGAGGTAGGCTTCTCTGGTGACTGGTTCTTCTTCTCCAGCGAGGGTACTGGTGGCTAGGGTTTGGGGTTGGGTGTGGGCGAGCTTATTTATAACCTTCCCCTATTAATATCAGCCGTCCATCACGATTTAATCTGGACCGTCCGATCGCGATTAAAATGGGAATAAATCTAGACCGTCTGCACGCGTGAGATCTGGACATTTCGCACGCGTGAGATTTGGGCCGTCCGTGAGCGTGAGATCTGGGCCGTCCATACGCGTGAGATCTGGACCGTTTGATTGCGTGCATGTGAATTGCCCACGTGGCTCCGTCCCGCGTGGCCTCCCGCGTCAGTTTCTTTACCACGCGGCGTGTTCTGGTTGGCCGGGGCTGCTGACTAGGCTACTGACGTGGCTGCTGACGTGACACAACTTTTTCAAATTACATTTTGACTTCCGATTTTCGATTTTCTTTTCAAAAATACCCACATAATCTAAATTTTCACCACTTTTTCCTAAAATCAATTTCAATTAAATTTCAAAAATAATTTTAACCTATTTTATTATTATTATTATTTTTATTTCTATTAAATTAAATTAAATTAAATTAAAACTTTATAATTTAAATATTAAAATAGAATAAAATTAAACAAAAATTCTAATAAAAATTAAAATAAATTAAAAAATAAAAATACAAATTTTGGGTGTTACAACGCTGGCGATCCATATGCCCTGTGATCGGATGGCTCGGAAGTGTTCCCACACGCGTGGATGGTCCGGATCCGTTCCATCTTCAGGTGTGATCGAACGGTCGAGATCAAATCGCAATTAACGGTTCATATTCATTTTCTCTTTAAACGCAATCGGACAGTTGAGATCAAACGCGATGAACGACCCACATTAACGCGAGACGGGTATAAATATCTCGCATCACATCGAATCCAAACCCTAGCCATCAGTCTCCCACCGGGGAAGAAGAATCAATTGTCGGGGAAGGGAGCCGACTGCCGCAGCGCTGGAGCCACCTCTGATCGCCAAAAAAAGTAAAAATTCTTTTATCCGCTCAGAATTTGATTCTAAGTACCTACATGACCAAATCGGAGTAAAAGAAACGGCGGGTAAGTCAGAAACCGCGGGTAAAACTCAAAATTTCCTTTGATGAGCCCCTTCCTGTTTTCCGTTTCGTGCAATTTTTCTACCATTGTGTTCACTGTTCTGTTTTCTACAGGTTGACCGAAGAAAAATGCTCAACTGCGAAGGTAAGCCGACGGAGCCGCAGCACCGAAAAATTTCGTCGCCGATAGGTCTCCCTTATTTTACTTTTTTCGGCCAACCGAGCCCTTCTAATGTATTTTCTCGCACATATGGGTATAAAATTGGTTGAAATCGGTTAAAACTGGCCAAAAACGGTCATGCCAAGGTAAACTGCCGCTGCGGGCGACGGTGCCGCCGTGCCAGAATTCCAAAATTGGCCAGAAAAAGTTTTTAACACCGATTTTAATTTTTTTTGGGTATTTTTAGGTATGTGAAGTGTGTTTTAATATCTATAGAAAAATTCAGGAAACCTAGGGACCATTAGTAAGTGCAGTAGAAAGTTTGGTGTTTCGGATACCGATTCGGGTAACAATCATTCATCTTATTCTCTGTTATAGAATTGAAGCTTAATAATTAATAATATGATATTTTGTGTAATTTAGAAATTTTGATAATAATTATATGTTACCACTGGAGTCGAAAATCGGTTAATATTTATTTGTTGTCCTATTTAACTAATTTTTGAATTTACAGCTTTAAATACATTATAATATACTGTAATGGTTAAATGATTCAATTATCTTACATGATTTACGGTTGATTTGTGAAATTGGTAATTAATATGTAAAAGAAAAATTGTTTGGTCATGTGAATTAATGAATGATAAACTTACTGGATATCCTGCGAGATAGTAGACGGACCGGGTACATAGGGAATCCTACCGTGAACGTTGCCTCATATCATACGGGGTATCGAGAATTGGTATTTTTGGTGCTCATACCGGATGAGGTATGAGAACGACCCGATTTATCTTCATACTGAACATGATATTGATGTATGATATTTTTGGCGCTTATATCGAACGAGATATAGGGATGACCGGATAGTTGACAATGTTGGATATTGATTCACGCGTAGTGGGACTTCCTTATGGGCCCTCAGGGATATCAGCAGACAAATAAAAAAGGAAAGTGGTTACTATTGCTCACTTGAAAATAAAATTAAAATGTTATTTGAGTTATTGTATCTCTAAACGTCGATTTTAAAAATCTCGCAACAGTAAATGAATGCAGCAAAATTATTTTTGTTATGATAAATGAATTTACTTAAATTAAGAGTTTTATTGGTTGTTTTTATGATTTTTATCAACTTTCAGTTTATGTATCGGTGAGTAATGTAATATTTTTATTGAGTTAATGTAACTCACAATTTTATTAATTATTTCAGATTAAAAAGACAAATCTAAATACCAATCAACAAGAGAATTGTGAAGAAGTTCACTATCCGTTTATTTGCTTTTTGTTTATTTTTTTATTTTTTGTTTGTTCTTTTAGAATGAACATTCTCGTATCTCTATTGACTACTCTAAATTATTGTGTAAGAAATGTAAACTGTAAATTTTATTATTTTTCTTCCATATTTAATTTATAATTTTATTATTTTTAAGTTCTGAACCTTTACATCTTATCAAGTCGTATGATATTCTCAAGATATCTGTATGCATACCCATTCTTTCTTCGAAAAAGCTGCAAGTAGCAACAAGGCCATTGACAGAGGAACAAGGAGATTAGAATTGAATCCTGGACATCATCAAACCTGACCCATGATTTAAAGCCACGGAGCATTTTCTTTGCGAATATAATTTTAATAAATTGAAACTGGGGGCAACGCTAATCCTTATCTATTTGATTAGCCTAAACCTTACTTCCCCAGTTCCCAAACAACTAACATCTTCCTCAAGAGGCACAAGGCATGCAATCAAAATAGACAAAAAAATACCAAATATCACTTCCAAACTAAGGCTTGCTGTTTTGTAAGAGGCAGTAAAACTATGTGCACAATCAAACAACATCAACAGGCAAGAGTGCTTGGAAATAATGAAATCTTGAGGATTAACCATTGGATTGAAAATTTGAAATATCATTACACATATTTACACAATACTTTCATCTCACCTATAGAAAAAAGTACCTGTATACAATCTACCTTGATGTTGATAATTTCCTGCTACCTATGGATACACACCATCTGAATCATACAGCGCAATGAGCATGAATCTGCTATTAAAATCCACAAGCAATCATTCACTCCTTTCTTTTTAATATCTTAGACTTCATAATTTTGAAGGCAAAAGAAGAGGTCCGGTGTCATGTTAGTAGGCCAGTTGAATGAAATGAGCTTTACAATTAGGTTGTCAGCTAGTTTGAAGGTAAGCGTTGCATCTGTAAAATATGTGTCCTCAGACTGCATTCTGTCACCTGCTCAAGGAAACATATTTGTTGAACGAAGTACATTGGAGGAAGGAAATGAGAAGCTCCATATGAGAAAAAGAGAAGTAATGGACAATGTGCTTACTTGCATGGCTGCAATTGTCGACAAGAGATCTTTGCATTGATTGAGCAAAGCTTGCTCTTTTGCATTTGTACTGGCAAGTTCAGTGACCAAAGAGTTCACTTCCCCAACCTATCAAAGACGAATGATTTTAGATGTTAGGCTTCAAATCAAACTGGATAGGAAACATTGGTACTTCAGGAACCAGAGCTCCCTTATTTATCCATAAAAACAATAATTTCCTCCACATTGAAGGGCAGGGATAAATCAACCATGGAACTCACAAATTTTCCTACTTCTACCCAAAAGTTAAGCCTACATGGGGACCATCTGTTCACCAATTTAAGGTCGAGACAGACCTACCAGAGTGTCAAGGGGCAGAAATTTGGACTTAAGAAAGCATTGAAGCAGACAAAGTTTGCCCAAATCCTCTTGCTCTTACTAGATTCAGTTAGAGAAAGGCTGGCTTCAGACTGTTAATCTAATGGTTTATAGGCATGATTTGTGGGACTCATCCACAAGCATCATCCTGAATTCCTGATGCCTTGTGAATAACAACATGGTTATTTTCTCTCCTCCAGGAAAAAAAGAACATGATGACTCTTCTCAAGAAAAAAAATTCTTATGAAGTTCAGCCTACTGGTATAAACACTAGAGATTTAAATTTCTCTTTGACTCGATTCTTCTTCTATTCCTGATTAATTAATATGCAAATTTTAGATTTATATTTGAAATGAAAACATGGTTTCTCATCTTTGAATCACCTTCACATTCAAAATGTGAATCCTTCATGAGCTGCACTTGGAGTGAGAAGTGGACCAAACAGATAGTAAGAATTAATTTAATTTGAATTAATTTCTGATTCCTATTTGACTAAAAAAGAAATCAAAAAGTCTATCATTTTGATTTGAAAATAAAACTATAATACTATTGACACTAACTTTACCCTATTTAAAATTGTATTCTTATTCCTGGTCCATTGATTTAGCACTTTTGAACCAAAACTTTTTCACCTCAGAAGACGGAAAGTTAGAAGAATCATACCAATACAAATTTTTGCTGTCCATATAAAATGAAAGGGGAAAAGTGGATTGCAAAAGACTGCTAATTTTTAATGAATGAGATTGTGAAAGAAAATACAAATATTTATCCAAATAAGATGGTTAAGAGTATTAATTGGAAGATCTATGTGAACAAACCCAGATCTTAATCACAATAGAACACCAGAAGTACACCACTATCTGACGTAGGGTTCAAACATAACCTTGAGTTTCCTTGCACAAATACATACAAACTCAAAGACAATTGCTCAGGCAATTCACTGGTTGAACCATATATGATAAAAAATGATTGCAAATTGAAAAATAATATGTCTAATTATATCCATCATTGCAATTATTGTTCTTTTTTGCAATCCTTAGTTGGTCCATTCAAAAGAACACATGATCCAGTGCATGCTATAGAGGGTCAATGGTTTAGAAGACAAGGAAGACATGCACAAGTGAACAAATTGATGCCATGAAAATTGGGAAAGGAGACAGTCCATGAGTTAAAAGATTGGGAAGGAGATAATGTGGTGAACAGCTGCATAAAAGATTACCTTTGACAATAGCAAGCATATGGAAGATGTCATAGCCTGCATCACATCAGCCGCTGAACAAATTGCATCCTTCACACTTTGGACATCAGCCTATACATATAACAAGAACAACTAAACTTTTCTTGAAGCCCAAATGCTGCTGTTTGATTGGAAACTGAATGCACTAGCTTAAATATGAGCTTCAGGTGGAAAAAGAAAATCACATACCCTTGCCACATCAACCACTGGAAGGCGGAGTGTGCTAGCCCTCAGAGCTCCAATAGCCCCCAATAAAGAACCATTATAATCACTATCCATATCAGCCCATTTTTCTAAATACGTCATCTGCTCTCATCAAGCACAATGGAAATTAGATGCAATAGTCAAACTGATGGACAGTAACCACTAATTTCTACCTAACCAGCTGTATGGTCATGCAACTAGAAGATAATTGAAGTTTCTTTCTTTCTCCTTTTGATGAGAGGAGAACATGTAGAAACATAAATATGAAAATGGGATTTTATCCAAAAAAACAAAAAAAAAAGAAAAAAGAAAATGACGAGGCATGTGTCAAAGCGAAGGTGGACAGTAACCACTAGTTTCTACCTAACCAGCTGTATAGTCATGCAACTAGAAGATAATTGAAGTTTCTTTCTTTCTCCTTTTGATGAGAAGAGAACATGTAGAAAAAGAAATATGAAAATGGCATTTTATCCCAAAAAACGAAAAAAAAAAGAAATGAAAATGACGAGGCATGTGTCAAAGCGAAGGTGTATAGAAAACCATAGCCGCGTGAAGGAAACTTCAAAATGTGGAATTGGAACAAACAAAATTCTTTCAACAGCAGACCATGAAACACAACTTTCTTCCAAGAATACACAAAATATACTAAATTTGTTCATGAGATCTTGGCCTATTTATGCCAAATATGTATATATATAGAGAGAGAGACAACTCTATAGTATGTCATATGTCACTTTCTAACGAAGGAGTATGACAAGGAAAGCTTAAAGAAAAAAAATTCAGTAACTTATTAGAGTCCATTACAATGAAAGAGAGGGTGGGATATCCCAAAAAAAATTAAATCTATCAGAAATTTTTTTTTTTTTCTACCACAAACCTTTTCTGCAAAATAAAAACAAAATAACCAGAAGTTATTTTCATGAGAATCAAAACCAGAATGTGGCTGTAAATCTTACTTGCCCCCGGAGAATACCGGTCAGCTTCAAGTTTTGCCTCAGCAACTGTAATTCAGTTCTTTTTGCTCTAACAGATTCCCGGAGCTTCGAGGTATTTATCCATGCACTATGAAGACTTCTCTGATAGAATGAAAACAAGGAGTCAGCCTTAAGAAATTGTTACTTAGACTTGCAGATTAAAGAAGCAAACAGCCAGAATACCAAAATATGAGGTTCCCAACAAAAAAAGTTATACACTAATAATATATATATATATATATATATATATATAACACAATCGACATACTTCATCAATAAAACAGACTAGAATGCAGAAAGGCATGATGTATTATTGTTTGTTGGAACATCTCTTTGTTTGCCAAATAAAGTTGATAAAAGACATCAATCTAATGGTTTAGTGTCAGTAGAAATTAACTAATGACATTGTTTCAGTAACATACATTTACTGCAGCACTACTTTATTGATTTAGAAAATTAGTTACCCGTTAAGATTAAGATGCTTATTTAAAAAGACCATTTTATTGTATTTTGAATTTCCAAAAAGATAAATATAGGGTGGTAAATAGATAACGGGATTTGTTAAGAAAATAAACAATTTTAGTCCAATGCACAAAACATTAGCAGGGCGAACTCATTAGCATGTAATAAACAACTTCATAAATTTAAACAGAGCATCTAAAGCTCCTTATAAAATCCGAATATGCAAAGTCAAACACCCTCCTGCACCAATTAAAGAAATTTCCAGCTGAGTAAATCGACTTCTTCTTGATAATTTCACATCAGTTTTTCAACCAAATGCAATCTTTCACTTTGTCAACCGACATTCACTCTCTTGGGCAAAAATTAACCTAGGAGAAATAAATAGACATCAATGGCAAATTTCTGGCCCCTTGACATTTTTCATATATATATTTCTTAGTTATGCTTTATCTGCCCACTGACATTCACCTTGTCGACTTTCTAGATTACGGGACCTTTCCGCAATCCTCATGAAGCAAAACAACTAAGGTATCAACTTCCTCATCTCCAGCAAATTATCAAGAAACAAGTCAAACTCTCAATCCTTTCAAAAGGAATGTGTGAGAAGCTAGGATTACAACCTGGAATAAGTCCTTCTGATTTGCCTTCACTTTAAATCGTTATTTATAATAATCTGAAGACATAGGCACAAGCAGTGAATGTTGGTGCAGACATAACTATACCAATTATGTGCGCACACACACAAGCATGCACAAAGATAGCAGCTGTAACTAGCAAGTGAAAATATGAGAAATGACATTGTACACTGACAGAGGCAAAGAGATCAAAAGGTCAAATGTTTCATTTAAAAAACTGAAATAGATGCATGTAGATTTGGAAGGAACCATCAAAACTGTCAAGAAGTTAACAAAAGAAGAACATATGTACTGAAAACTAAAAGGACATAACAGGCTTAAGCTGAAGAATTTCCAAACCTACAAGGATTAACAGAAGTTGCCATACCTCTGCATTCAATCTCTGGGCAGAGAGCGAAGAATCTGCTCTAGCATTCACAAAACGCCATTGCAACAGGCGGTTATAAAAAAGTCTCAGCAAGTGAGCATCAACAACCCGATTCTCTCCAATCTTTCCCCTCCTAACATCAGCGGCAAAACTTAGAATTGACGGGGTGTTACTCAAATTACTATTCAAAGAACACACCACCCCATTTCTGGCTTTAGACGGGCTCATTCCCCTCAACGGGGAGGAAGCTGCCGGTGTCCCTAGCTTACTTGGGGAAGCAGGCCGCAGCGGCCCACGAATTGGAGATAGCTGTCCTCTGGTATTCAGAACCCCTTTGGGCGAAGATACCGGACTGTCAATAGCAATTTTTTTTGGTACAATGAGCTTAGGTGGACCGGGGGTCTTCAGTCCATTATTCTTGGATACCGGAGAGCCAGGTTCTGCCTGGCGCCGCAACCTATTATTTGTCTCTTGCCAAAATTTCGCTGGCACCACTATCCCACGAGGTGTACGCTGCGCTTGTCCTCCTCCACCATAAGCAATTGCATTTGCCTCCTGTGCTCCTGAAGTAGTACTACCAGAAGACACACTCTCGGTGTCAGAAGCAGCCGTATCGCATCCAGCAGCAGATGTTGAAACCCTAGTAAGCTCAGGCTTCCTCTCCCTCTTCGCATTCGCTAAATCTGTGGTTGACTTACCATTATAGGACGCTCTGTTATCAATCATATAATTTTGCAGCGCCCTAACCACAGATCCGCCCAGCTTCTTCCTCTCATCAGTAAAATCGACACTCCTACTCATCGAACCTGGCTGCCGCAACCTTCCAGGCCAACGCTGATGCTCCAACGGCTTTGAATTCTCCGTTTGATCTGCTCCCCTCCCCGGCGTCGTCGTTGCTGCCTTTCTTCTCTCAGGCGTGCCTTTCCTAACGGTGCTAGGAGACGGAGCTGGCTTCGCTTTGCTCACTTGCAGCGTGAAGGATTCCCCCTGAAACGACACGGACAAGCTCCTTGCGGAAGTAAACAGCATCTTCTGTGCCGTGGACAGTTCCCCACTGCCGCCAGGACGACCACCAGTGCCCCCCGAATCCAAAGAGCTAGGCCGCTGTGTCACCGCGCGCCTCCGGTCCACGGATTGCGACCGCTTGAGCGTCGATGCCGCTGAGGGCATCGGTGTCATAGCGGTCCTCGAAACAATGGGGGACGGGAATCGTCTGCCCGATGTTGACGAGGCTGACGACGATGAAGATGATGAGGATGAAGAGGATAAGTAGCGGGAGGTGACCTCTCGAGATTTCGGACGGCGAGCATTGTCGGGGTCCGAGGGCAACAAAGGAGGCCTCGACGGGTTATGATGAGTGGTTTTGGGGTTAATTGTAGCAGACACTGCAGCTACCATTGCGTGCAGTCAATCACCGATTCACATCTCATTCTTCGAAGCCACTCCGGAAAACCCTAATTTCCACTTTACTAGCGTCAAGCAACACCAACCGCCAAAGCCTGCAAAGTTCGATTATACAAATTGCATATAATAAAAGAGTTGGTCCACAAAAGTATTGCAAACTGACAAAGAATCTCACAAGCTTAATACCAGATTCCAGTAATTTCCTTTTTTATTTTCTCTCGAATTTCCCAGACGGAGGATTTTCCCGGAAAATGACCGTTACAGATTACCGGCGAGGGATGGAGAGAGAAGAGAGAGAGAGAGAGACTTGGAAGTTGTTTAGGCGAGATTTGAGACCGAGAGCATAACTGTCGTACTAGGCTTTGTGCTCGAGCTGGAAAATTTTTAACTTAATTAATGACTATTTATTCTTCAAAAGAAGGGGGAAATAACTTCAGCTCGCGGATGTATATAAATATCATACTCGCTCGGATTAGGCATAACGTGTAACTTCAATAATGTACTCATATGGAGGCACACGGGGGGACGAATTCAACATCACGCGCTGCAGAACGTGAGTGATGAGAGGAGTGTGAATCTTCGGAGAGACGTTACGCAAACGACATCGAATTTAAATTGTCTTTTATGAAAGTTTTAATGTTAAATTAAAAAAAAAAAAAAAAAATCAAACTGGCCGTTGGATATTATCGCGATGGGAAGAAATTAATTAGCGTCTATAACGCATTATGCATTTGACTTCTGCCGTCAACAATTTCCATGCACCAAAAATTTGAAAATTTTAACAAAAATAATATATATTAATGATTTTTTATTTTAAAAATAACTGTATTGAATTGACTGACTCAGTTAACATAATAATTATATAAAATTAAAATAATTTAATTGGATAATTATTATGCAAAAATGAAAATGGAATTAAGGCACGTGTAAGTTGAATTGAAAACGTGGTTTTTGTTAAGGTAGTGACTTTTTTTTTTTTAATTTTTTATATTTAGAAGTTTTTTTAACAATCTTATGAAATAAAATAATCTTTGAGCCATACATAAGTGAAAAATAGAAGAGGTCAAAGCACCATTTAATTTTGGCATTTTTCTAATTCATTTTTTGTTAAACGACACTTTTACTCTTTGTGGTTTAGCTTAATTATAATTTAATTAATTTGGTTTTTCTATTAACTAAATATCATATCACAGTGTATTATTATGGAAATTAACCTATAGTTATTTTAAATTATGATATAAATTGTGCTTTTTCTTCCTCTTTTCAATATCTTCTTTTGGAATACTCAATTTTCTTTGTTAAATTATAAATACTACTCCGTAATTTCTTTAAAAATATAATTACTACTTCTAAATTATAGTAGAAAAAAGTTAATATTGTAAAGTGAAAGATGTATACATGTGCATGATACCCCAAAAAAAAAAAAGAAGTTAACATATATATTTTAAATTTAATCGTAAAATTAATAATCCAATTATGACAAATTACTCATCAAAATTTAATACTTGTTATAAAATTTTTTAATATTTTTATTATAATTTGGTTTCTAATATTAATTTTATTTAATATCATAAAAGAAAAAATTTAAACTGATTAAAATATGTTTATACATTTTTTTAAAAAAAAATCAAAATAATAATTTTAATTAATTAATTAGATTAAAAATTAGTAGTACTTATTAATTAAAAAAATAAAATGAACTCGCCCACCCAAACGATATACAATTATTATCATACTAATTGTATGGTGATTAAGAGAGTGGGTTTACTCTAACTTGAAGACTAATTACCTTTTTCATGTCTTCTAAAGGAGGATTCCTTTTAATTTCATAATTCCTTATAACCCCACGTATCTATTTTAAGTTAATCTCAAGTCATTATCTCTCTATTGCTTTAACAAGTTCTTTTTGTTTAATTATGTAATTATGCAATGCCCAACCAAAACAAAATAATTTGATCACTAAACGGGGATTTTATGCAATTTCATCGCTAAAAATGATATAGACCATCTTTTAATATATATATATATATATAATTTTGATAATGCTCGTTTCACAGGTTATCTATTGTTTGTCAATTGATTCAAAATTCAAGAGTTTTATAAAATGGTATTAATAAAATATATATGAATGAAATATTCTACTCATGGATATAATTTTGTCTAATATATATTGAAGCAAAATATAAATAAATAAATTCACAACTAAAATATCATAAATGGAGAATATAACTAAAAGGGAATTGAATGCATTTTGGAGTTGAATATGAAAACTAAAGGAAGAGGTAATTTTGTAGAAGCAAAGAATCCCATTTTTTTTTTCACTTATATAAAAGTTAAAAGTTTTACCATTTTATTCAAAGTAATAATTTCCATCGCTTTTTTTTTTTTTTTTTTTTAAAAAAAAAAAGAAGAAAAACATTTCTTCTTCTTCTTCTTCTTTATGTCAAATAATACCATACACTGTAAAATTCCATGCAAATATTACTTTTATTATTATTTCCACTTTCTTTTTTCATTTTATTTATATGCCAATTGAGTAATTTGAGTATTGGAAAACTTGTAGAACACTAGAGTAGGGTTTTGTAAGTGAATCACAGTAAAAGAAAAAAAAAGATTTTATGGGGTTATTTTATAAATTTTATTAAATTAAAGAACAATTTTGAGATAAACTTGCTCAATTATTGTATGGAATGATGAATTTTAAAACGAAACCACCCACAATTTTAATATGAAATATAAACTACCAACAATATTTAGTAATTTAATGATTATAAGATTTTGAAGAAAAATGTGGAATTAATTCATAACTATTTCAGGTGGTGAACTTTTGTGAGGACACGAATTGAGCAGACATAATAAGGTCAAGGGTCCCTATCCCTTACATGCAAATTATCATCATTATTATTATTATTATTATTATTATTATTACTCGTACTTTGAGATATTAATTTGAAATTCTTATTAAAAAATAAAAACGAATTATGGGTAATTTGGGAAAGAAAAAACGACCATAGAAAAATCAAAAGATGATGTGAAAGTTTTTATTTGACAAAAATTCTGATAATTGATTTTTGCCCTACAAGGATTCATACCCCAATTAATGCCGTTCAAGTACTTTCGGCTAACTATTGCTATTTAAGAAAGTTGAGGGGCACCCCCCCCTCAATTCACCCAAATGCACTTAACCAAAAATTTTGGTTCAGTGGTCCTCATTAAGGGATACATACCCATCAAAAAAGTGACCCATTTGGAAATATCCACCAAATACTTCCGTTTGACTCTCTCGGTCTTTTATGCACTAAAATTTTTAGCTCTCTAAATTCGAATCAACAATCACACATGCATAGTGGCTACTCCTTATGGACCACTTTAAAGACTATGTGTTTCTTCATTTCCACTCAACTTCAAGAATATATATTCCTTTTCTCTCTCTCTCTCTTTTTTCAAATAAATTTTATTTAACAAATTTATTTATAAATTAATTATAAAATTATTAAAATACTAAATTTTTATCAGACCAAATATAATGATTTATATTCTTATTATTTATAAAAATTATACATGATAAATTAGTATTATTATTTCGTAATTTATTGTTGAAAATATTTGATGGTTTAGAATTTTATTTTTTTAAAAAATAATGGAAATCATTATATTTGCTCCTTTTTTTTTTTTTTTTGCCGTATAAAGCAAAGTTATATATGCATCATGACAATCATCCTAATCCAACTCACCTTCCCTCCTTACTTTGCCTTCAAACAATATAATAACAAGTTTCGTATATAATTTAGTCAAGTATCCTCCCATTCATTACTAAATATTAATTATTTCCAAAAGTCGAATATAATCATATTTATCATGTAAAAAATATATTACGTATGCGCGTGTGTCATGATGCATATACACATATATAAATATACATAGCGCCTCTATGTATCTATATATAATCACAAATTTCAACAAATAGTTTCTTGAGTTGGTAAGAATAACGTATGAACGTAATAAACTTGGAAACCATAATAGCATAATGCACATCAAATAATTTAAGCTAAAAAATTAAAAAAAAAAAAGCCAACACGTATGGGTGTATACATATATATATATAAATTACCTGTGAAAATGAACAATCAAGAATAATCTCGAACACCTCTCTGTTTGATTTTGGAATGAAAGAAATTTGGTTTAGATTAAGTTTAATCCTGGGCTGTATATATACATACACACATATATACATAATATATATATATATATAGAGAGAGAGAGAGAGAGGCATTGTTATTGTTATCATCTGCGATTGTGGAAGGAAGCTAAAAGAAAAGGCATATGTTTCTGGGACGGTCCGTCCCATGTCCTGTCCACTGTGTCTCGGTGTGCTTTATTGTGTATCTGTCACTGTCACCGTGTCCTTCTTTTTGTGGGGTAGGGTACCCTACGCTCCCACCAATATATATAAGTTATATTGTCATATTTATTTGAAAAATAATAATTATAATTCAAATAATAACAAATATTTCGATAATAATTTTATTTATTTAATTTAAGCATAGAGTACATGGTCCTCTATATTTGCACAAAGTAGAAATAATAATAGACAGTTCACCAAAAGCTCGTGTGATGCTATAATGACCATCCAATTAAATTTCCTCACGTACATTTATTTAATGCAAATAATTATTAATAAATTGAAATAAAATCACCTACATTTATCAAGTTTATATATAACTAATTGAAAAAAAAAAAAGAAATTGTAAATTTGTGACGTTTTATTATTCGAATTACTCTTAATTTACTGTGAATAATTGTAAATATATAGATATTAAAATCTTCAGTTCCACAATTATATTATTAAAATCAGTCAATACAACAGTTATATATATATATATATGTATGTATGTAACATTATAAAGATGATTGATATATTATTGGAGTCAGTCTAATCAGAAAGCCTTGTGAACAAGTGAAAGTCTTTTATTAGGATTTGGGAAAGGTTACTATGACTTAAAGCAGCACCGCTTGTATTATAATTAATTGGGGCTAAAGTAAACTAATCCTTTGTGTTAATATCCCATTGCTTTTGCCTTTAGGCGACTCTCAACTTTAAAAGAAGCCTTTTGTCCTTCTTACTTAATCTGTACATATATATATATACACACGCACGCACACACACACACACACACACACACACACACAAAATGAAATATTTTTTAATTGGGTATATATAAATATACCGTCTCAAAAAGCCAGTTGAATTGAAATACAATGAAAGGCAATCTAATTTTGTAACAAGAAACTTCATATTTCAGACTCTCAATCTTGACTACAAATTATGTCAATATCTTAATTTCTAATTTCAGTATAAATAGTATTTCATTTATCAAGAAAGAAATGTAAATGGGAGCAATAGAGTTGGGAACTTTTGGTGTGATGGGAACTGGTTTGTTTTCTGATTTGTTCATCCTTCTAATTCATTAGCAATGTTTATATGGGTACAGGTCCCTCATTCCTCTGCCACTACAATGATTAGTGTCTCCATGTCTTGCGCTTGATTTGTGCACGGTGCCTGACCACTTCAAAATACAACTTCGTCAACACTCCAATATTGAAAGCACTATATGTGTGTGTGTATATATATATACTGTCTGTATCAAACAATTGGCTATATGGCACTCTCAGCTGATCTAGTAATTGAAACAATTTTATTATATTTGAAAATTACCGATTCGAATTTTAGTAAGAATCCAGAACACTTTCATTATTATTACTACTGTGTTATATTAAAAAACTACTTTGAGTTTTTGTACACAATGATAACAAAAACTGTATTTTGTCAGTAAAATTGGATAACGAATCAATGTATACCGCAAAATAATTTTACCATAAGAGTTTCCAAAACTAAAAAAGATAAATATCAATGTAAGATCAAGAGCTCAATCAAAAACAACATATTCCGAAATTGATTGACAATACTTCTCCATATAATAAGCACATAGAAATCACAAGCTTATCACATTGATCATATAGCAAAGCTCCAATCATGAGTCACCAATGAGAGGACTGCTCTACAAGGATTCTCATATTACAACACAATTTATAATACTCACAAAGGACATATATCTACACAAAGCATAGTCAGCATAAAGGCGATATTTAGAAGTTGGTAGTGATGATATATTACAAGGAAATGAATCACCGGTTAAACATACCCAGCTAACCAAGTAACTGCTTTCTTTGTAATTTTCTTGCAACGGATTCTGTTATTCAAGCATCGAGATCTTGTGTAGATTTAGGTTAAGCTGATCCACCGCTTGTGGGGGGACCTGGAGGAGGCGATGGCTTAGGAATATAGGGGATCAGAGGGCTGCCATGCTCAATTGGTCCCGGTCTCACTGAGGTCTTTGTTGTTGGAGTTGGATCAATTGGGTGATAATCTTCCAGGTCCAATTTGTCAGCAGGATTGTTTTTCTTGTATGTGCTTGGACTACCACTGTAGTAGCATTTTTCCTGCAATTTTAAGATAGAAGGTGCCAGGCCAAATCCCAACATCCCTACCAAGTAAGTATCACTAGTATTATATATATGTTAATTAGTGTTTGACAAATCAATTTTTATGTTGAGAGTATGTACCTTCAGCTTCCTACCTCCTGTTGTCATTATCAAACTACTGTTGTATCGGGTGATGGCCAGATCTGGAAGACAATTCGAGAAGGTAGAATAATTAATATGTGAAGGAAATTTTTACCATGCTTTTGTTCAACAAAACCAAGGCATGTTAATCGATATTAATAACCATTAATTCAGTAAAAACAGATATAGAATCTTGATTTATCAACCTATTTGGTTGAGCAGTTCGCTTCTCTTTCACAAATCCAATGGCTAAACGAATAAAGATGTCATACTTCGATTCAGTAAAAGGCATGTAGTTTGACAAGTATGGACAACATCAAGGTCATGTTGGATTAAAAAGTAAATTTTTTGGAATGAGAAGAAATAGATAGAAAAGATATGAATATTTTAATAAAAATAATATTCTAATTCTATGTAAATTTCATAATCAATTCAAGAATAATTAAATTTATAATACCTAGGAGAAGAGGAAAAACAAATAGATTTTCTATATGAGAGTTTGAGTTGATTCAACTGCAAATCAAACATGATTATGTTTTAAACACCAAATAATTGAGAGCTAGAAATACAGTGATTCAAAAAAAAAAAAAGAAGATTCGGAGCCAAAACGTGAAAATCTTTCCAATGTATCTCCATTTTTAGCAAAATCCACACATTTTACTAACTGGGCTTGCGCACCAATAACAACATAATCAATCTTTTAACAAGAAAACAATATAACGAAAACACACAAGGACGCACAGTCAACTCTAGTTTCAATTCAAATGACCTTTCTTTGACTGGAGCAATAGGGTTCTTGTACCTGAAATGCTGGTCTGAAGATTTGAGTGACCGCTAAAAAGAAAAAAAAATAGCCAGGAATGGTGTTTGATTGAACAAAATGAGCAAGTGCTGCCAACTGGGCTTGAGTTTTGAAGCAGACCCATCACCCATTTGTTTGGCAAGAAGTAGAAGTCTAATTTGTTTAAAGATGCATAAACCAGAAATTCAATTCATGCAATTCAAACAGTTGATAACAGAACCTAATTGGAAGCATTTGGGAATTTTTAAACACGAAAAAAGACAATACGTGATTGCTGGAGGATAAAGCCAAAAACTTAAACGTTTCTATGGCATTTTAGCTGTATTTTCCACTGGTAGCAATTAGAACTATTTCAGTAGAAGAATCCCAGAAAGTAAGCAAAGGATCCGATGATTTCAAACTGCATATACCAAAACAGATTATTCAACATAATTTGCTGCATGAAATCTTTTAATTTCCAATTAGTAACAATGCAAAATAAAGAAGAAACTGATGAGAGTAGGAGTTTTTTTTACCAGGATCAGATGCACTAATTGGAGTGCCATGGAAGCTGCTGATGAACAGCAAAACAGTCCCAACAGACCCAAAAAGAAAAGCCCACAACTTAAAATCTCCCATAACACCCATTCTTTGGACCAAATTTTAGCACACTGCAAAATCCAAGAGGAGAAAAAATACACAACCGCCTCTGGAGAACCTCGACCAATACGATCTTCGAGAAACAAACAAAGACCCAGAAGAACAGACAACTGGTGGCCGCCTATCGTCACTCGAATTTTTCACGACAAGAAAGTCCACCAGAAAATCCGTGGAGATAAGGAATAATGTGGTCAAGAACCCATGCCTTAGAACAGCTTAGGCATGTAACTGTGTGTTTTTATAATATATCTTCTTCAATGGTGGTGGTAAGTGAATGAGTTATAAAGAAATCCTCGTGGGTTTTGCTCGTCGTGGTAACTATGAATGCGGTGAAGAGAGATAAGGGAGAGAGAGATGAGAAGAGTAGTAATTGCAGGAGTTTATGAGTTCTGCAGATCGAACAGTGAGGAATGAAGCGAAAATTTAATGCGCGCTCACAGTAATAAGTTTTGGTGGAATGCGAGCCGGCGGGCACGTCTTGTTGCTGACAAAGTAAAGCATTGCATTGGCTTGGCGCCAACTGCGCTTCACTTTGGATTTATCGTCATGCAAATATTTAATAGATAATTAAATATTTTAAGAACGGACAACCGTAAGGGGGTGTAGCTCATATGGTAGAGCGCTCGCTTTGCATGCGAGAGGCACGGGGTTCGATTCCCCGCACCTCCATTTCTAAAACATTCTAACTATTTTAGCTACAAAATATTATTTTCCTGGAATACCTTAAAAATCAAACGTAAACTAATGGTTGTTACTATATAACTAAATCTAACTTAATAATCATAATCATGTGAATAAATTAAAACTTAAACTAGTAATAAATAAAAAATTATGAGCCAACAACTAATTCACTCATAAGAAGATGAGTTCTAAATCGAAATCTTCAAACAAAATGAATAAATTTAGTATATGATAATATAATAAAATAAATATTACAACTCTCTGTTTGCATGTGAGAGGCACGTGGTTTGATCTCCTGCACCCATTTTTTAAAACATTTTAGCTACTCTTATTAAAAAATAATTAGTTATAATCAAATATATTTTTTGTGACCAGTTGAAACTAAACTCAACTTAATTATTATAATTTCATGAATTAAAATAATTTATTTATTGATATATTTATAAAATAACAAATTTTATATTTTTAATTATATTGAAACTGTAATATTCAAACATAATGTAAAAAACTCAATTGTTAGATGTAGAAGTTGGTGGCACCATTACTTATAGTTAGCTTTTTTTTTTATCCCAATTAATATTTGATATAATAGTAAAATGTAAGAGAGATTCAAAGGGAATGATTTTTTTTTTTCTTTCTCTTTATAATAATTGCACCAAAAACTCTAAACCTAAATTTCAGAAAAGAGTCATTTTTAAATTAATTAAGAATAGCAAGAGGGCGGGTTTTACCAAAATCAAACTTGCTCGTGTAAATAATGCATTGCCCCCAAAATGGCCCCCCAATCCCAGGTGGGTTTTTTTGCACTGTACAGGTTTATAGTGAAACCCAGCCGCCACCCTACCCTACCCTACCCAAAGCTAAAAATAAAGAAACAAAACAAAATTCAATATATCTTACTTGATCTAGTGAGGTGCAAAGTTAAAGACCGAAGACACACTGGCGAGCTATAAAGCTAAAAGATGTTAGGAAGGAGTGTTGTGGCGGCACTAGAGTGCCGAGTGCGAAGCTATGCCACAGCCCTACAATTTGCGAAGCCCAAGATGAAGATAACTGAAGAAAGACGGGTTCGGGTGTGGAGAAGGCACTCCTGCCCTATACCCGGACACGTGGCGGCCGTGTCCATCCCCTAATGAATAAGTTTAATAGGTTTATGGTCCATATTTTTATATTTTAGATAAAAAATTTCCATCAAAAAAATGTCAAAATATAAATAATTTGTTATATTTTTTCTAAACATAGGCTTAGATTAATTTTGTAACATTGTAAATAATGTATTTTTTTTTTCTTTACATAAATTATCATAATTATAAAAAGTAAACAAATTTTATTTATGGATGCCGAAATGAATAGACAAAATTTCAAATAATTAAAACTCTCATGTCAAAATTAAATGATGACAACTTGATCTTTGGATGGGTTATAATTGTATATTCGTCATCTATAAGCAATTTTAAACTTTATATTAAAAATTTATTCAAGATTTGGTGTAATGTTAAAATACAAATAATTCATTTAGTTGTAAATGACAATTCATATCATTCAAGTTAATCTGATCCTGTTATTATCAGTATATAATTTTTTCTTTTTTTTTTTTATGGGTCGGGCGTACATGTACAGGATTACGTAATGAGGTTAGGATTGGGATTCTCTCATAATAATTTGATCTGACCCAATTTATTTTAAAATAATTTATATATTATGTATATAACCATGAGTTTGTGATTTATTTTTAAGTATGACGTCCGAGAACTTACAAGCATATTACCAACAAAATTAATAACTTCATCCAGATTATGCAAACTCACGGAGATTTTTCACGCAAATATAAATACTTAACAAACTATCCAAATTAACTATATGAATACAATAAGATATTCTTATTATTTCATACATTTATATTATTATGTATATCTACATATATAATTATCTATTTTCATAGTATCCGAACAGCAATGTATTGTGTCAGACTAATTTACTGAGTAATAACATCTAATAATTAATCAACAATATTATTGTCTAGTAGTTAAGACCATCATATTCAAAAAAATTTAACTCACTATGACTGCATTCAAATAAATCTCGACAAACCTGTTATAATTTTAAATAAATAGATTAAAAAAATAATAACATAATAATTAATTTTTTTTAATTAAAATAATCATAATTACTTAGCCTTTTTTATCTTCTAAAAAAATAAATCCGATATTTACATAGAAAACAGAATGAAAAGTTCCATGCTCTTATTTTAGACGGGACACGAAACCCTCCCCTGCCCGGTTTAAATTTAAAATCAAATCAGTATATTAACCCCATCCAAAAAAATCCCCAACACACCCGGGTACATCAAAGTATTATTAAGAAGCAGAATTGAGAAACGGCCTTGAAAAGACAACCTTTTTTCCCTTCTGAGTGGACCCAATGGTCAAAAAATTAAGCTGTTGTAAGGAAAGGATTATAATGCTCAAAACTCTATCCATCAACCATAAACAATCACACTCCACATATCTTGCCTTTAAGATTAGCAGGCTACAGCATTAAGCAATATAAACTAGAATGCATACTGCGAAAGTACTACAATATAAGTTTAGGTCTGCTCCAGTATCGCACCAAAAATTAAAATCCTTACAACCTAAGAACAAATGGTCTTGGACCATGAAAATTTATCGAGATCATTGTAGAAGACTCCACCAAACTGTACTCAATATCCTGAATCCTTCAGCGGTACTGCATACATGATCAACAAATGTAAGTTCCAGTATAAAATCCAACTATATACTATTATTATTATTATTTTTTGAGGTAAAAAACCCAACTATATATTATAAATTTATACACACAGAAAATGGTTGAGGAAAGGGCAAGCTCTAGAAATGTCTTTTTTTTTTTTTTCTGGTTTCACAAAAAAAAAAATCAGTAAAATCACTTGCAATCTCAACTACAATAATATCTTTCTCCAATTTGGTTTCTTTGCTCAACAACTTTCCGAGAAACATATAAAACAAAACCAAACTGAGCTGATTCCTGGCTTTAACAAGAAATTATAACACCTCTATGCATTTAGAACATGTGACGGTTAGGATTAACTTCGCAATTGGACAGTAGCAAATGGTTGACTACTTTTACTACAAGTCCTCAAAATAATCATTCCAACCATAAGGCAACAAAAGTATCTACCTTGATGAAGCCGATTTCCTTGGCATTCGAGCGGAAGCACTGGCGGCAACACATTAGCCCATACTTCCTAATCAACCCATGAGAATTTCCACATACACGGCTGCCAAGGAAACATAAGAAGGATCAAAACCACATACAAAAATAAAAAAAAATAATTACCAAGAAAGTAACAATTAGCATACTTTTTAAATAAAAAACAAATAGCTAGTTGGATAATAAAATGCATTTATAAGGCTACACATGGAACAACAGAACTTTATACAGTGGAACTCATTTTAAAATCTGTAATTATTGTAACCAATAAAAAACCCTCCAAATAATGAAATTTGACATACTAAAGAATCCAAAGTAGAAAAAAAAAAACAAATACACACTAATTCATCCAAATTTTAAAGACTTTCGGATTGTACTGCTCTAGTTCTACTTTTGCATCATTTTGAAACATAATTTCATATTCTCTTTTTAAAGTAAGGGCGTATCTGCAAATGAATTACAGAAATAAAGTTTATTTTTTTTCCACAAATATCCTCAAAAGTCATGCCACTATTTGGGAAAGAAAAACTGGAAGGTACATGTTTTAGCACATTAAACTTCATCCGGTAGAATTCTCGAACCAAAATACTACTGGACTAAAAAAATCAGCTTATGTGTTCTTCCCCAAAAATGCCGAAAGGCCAACAGAAGCAAGACACTAGAAAAGTACCCAATATAACTTCAACAAAAGGGCAAAAGACATAATTACATATAAACATTTCATGCTAAGATCATATACCATACATCGTAAAATAACGTAAATGGCAGAAACTGTAGCTCTAAACTGTCAATACCAGCAACTGTTGAAAATTAACAAATAATACAATACAATATTTGCTTATTATGCTTACTCAGCGGAATTAATTCACAATTCCAGATTGTCTCAATTAAATCCCTAATCAGAACAAGTTCGAACTCAATTAGAGGTAGCACAGCCCGCAAGCGATACTCGAGAACTACCAAAATTTAAGCCATAAGCCATCTCAAAATCTTAAATCACCTAATTATATAATCATATTAAACTTAACACTAAATAGAAAAAACTCCACAAAAGCTCCAGATCAAGATGATAAACAAAAGTAAGGAAAGAGAAAAAGATAAGATTCGTATTAGGAACAAAGTGCGTACCAGGCACGAGAGCCAGGGCCATAGGTCTTAGGATGCGAGTTCCACACATTTGAGTGACCCATTGTCGAAGCTTCTGTCCTCTCGAGAGAACCCTAGCAATTAGCAAACTACGCCGTCAAGAGCAGCTTCAAACTGGACGATGAAAATAAACCCTTAATTGAAACGTATTAATTTATAGGGGACAGACAGCTGGCACGGGACACAGAGACGCATGCATGGGGAGTTGGTGGTTCACGCGAAGAGCGAATGAAACGGTGTCGTAGTAGTATGGTAGAGGTTAATGGAACGACGTCGCTTGACTGATTGACTTTTGTGTTGTGGAGCAAAACTTGGGCTTCTTCTTGTGTGGGCTTGCTTTACAGTCTAAAGAAGATATGTGAGGAAATATTACGGAGAATAGGGAGGGATGTGGATGAACCTGCTATTCTGTCATTCATAACTTGTTCTGGGTGGGGTAAGTAGAAACACGCAATTAATCGATAATGGGATAAATAGGTATATACCCGCCTAAACCCTTAAATATATAATTATATTTTAAAACATGTGTATGTATGTAATTATTAAATTTATATTGTTAATTCTATTTTTTATAGTTTGATTAGTTTAAGTATATAAATATTATATTTCTATAATGTTATTTTACTTTATGTTGGATTATTATACTTTATTTAATATTTTTAATTATTAAAGTTTACGAACGCCGATATTTGGCAAAAGTATTTGTTTGTCAGGGTGAATAATTGGTAAAAGTTTTAAATTTTAGATAAATATTAATATTTTCTTGTAATGTTAATATTTTCTTTTTATTTTTTTATAAAAAATCATTCACTAGGAACATACATATAGAAAATTACTTTATAAATAATTTTTTGGGAAAAATAATGTATTTAAGTTTGCTATTTTTCGTCATAAATGTTTTACTTAATTCAAATTATGTATTAAAATATAACAGAATAGGTTAAAAATATCAGATTTTCAAATATTTAATACAAACACTATTACAAATAAATGCAACTAATATTTTAAATTAAAACATAATAATTGGTAAAATAAAAATATCAATATAATTTTATTCGACCACAACCACCTTTGGTGGCGGCAACATCATCCCACGTGTCGAGCTCCCAAGAAGTTTTTGTAAAATAAAACTGAAGAGCATCAAGTATGCCATTGACTGGTAAAACCCAACAATAAAAGACAATTTCACCCACCGGCCATTTATGTTTTTAATTACACACAAATGACTGGACCCATCCATCCATCTACACTATTCTAATTTCCACATTATTTAAAATTCATCCATTCACCCCATGTGTAACATCAGCGATTCCAGACTGATCCGCGGCAGAAATTACAAAAGATGAGACTTAATCATGCTCCAACAGTATTTCAACAGCAATGACGTTCTTAATAATTTTAATATACATGACTATTACGTCAGGTAAACAACTGATATATATATATATATATAGAGAGAGAGAGAGAGAGAGAGAGAATAATTTTCTTAGAATCTTATAGTTTTACTTTATTGTATAGCTTCAATATATCAAACTGATAAGAACACTGTCTTACAGCATAGGAGCAAAAAAAAAAAAAAAAGAAAAACCCACTATAAGATACCATCTCTCTAAGTTTAGGTACACATCACTTATAAGGATTACTTCACAACACTTGGGACCATAGCACATCAGTTTATTTATACTAGATATATAGATAGCATCAAAAGGAGGAAAAGAAATATAAAGCACACCCATTTGCTAGGCAATCTTATATATCTACAGGTTATAACTGACTTGACAAGGAGAAGACGCACCGTTGCACATATTGAGGGCCTCCTTTGTCTTTTTCTTTTTATTGTCTGATTAACTAATGTGCATGTTGGCCATTCTTAAGACACAGTGGATGGCCTTCTAGAGCTGAGAGTACTTTCAAAGATGGTGATGGATCAAAAATTGCGGCAAAAGTACGGAGCACGCTTAGCCCACTCCATGAAATTATTCCAGCATTGCTTCTTCTCGGTCCCAAATGATCGAGCTAGCTCTTCTTTTTTGTGCAGCATTTCCCACATCACCTGTATATCCTGATACTCGCATGATCTCACATCATGTCGCAACTTCAGTAGTCCTGTTCATTTACAGATCATGATCAAATGTCACAACTCAAAAACTTAACTAAGATGGAGTTTTTGTATTCGAATTGAACTATAAATTAGTCAAAGGAAATTCAATTAACTAATGGTAACTAGTTCATTCTTTAATTCCACAACACATAATGCGGAGAGACATTAGTTTCAAACAATTGACAAAATTGATTTCTTTTTCAGTTAAGTGGTAAGACAAAATAGCATTTATCAGAAGAATTGTTAATATGGGATTGGAGATCTTTAACAGTATTTGGCACCATAACAACCAGATCATAAGCTGATTTCAGTTCCATAAATTAGATATATGGGCAAGGCCAATTTCTTCCAATGTTGCCTTGTATCTTTAACTACTGAAGTAGAATGGAATCTTCTTGTTTCAGAAAAGAACTTGCTTTGATCGATGAGAGCAAATAATTCATGAAAAAATAAACTGGTTGACATGTCTTGAAACACTCTAGAAACACTCTAAAAAGTATGAATAAAAACGTGTGATTTCGTCCACAGACACCTCCAAAGTGACCGACATTTGGAGGCTAGTCTAAATTTCTCACCACCAAACAGTCAAAACCACAAGAAATGATGATCATGATTAAATCACTACCTTCACTTAGTGCGTCGTCCTTGAATTACCAATCTCTAATGAGATTTGGCACGAATTAGTAAAATAACTGAAAGAATATTCTAAACAAAATTGTTTGACAATTCAATTTCACGCACGAATTAGTAAAATAACTGAAAGAATATTCTAAACAAAATTGTTTGACAATTCAATTTCACCAAGAATAATCAGAACAGAAAGATCCAGCACCATAGAGTTAACACGCGTGATGCCAGAGTATCCTAAGCCAAAAATTATTTGACAATTAAATTTCACCACAGAATCATCTAACAAAACGTTCCTGCATCGGAACGTCCTTTCTAATTCTAACGATAAGAATCACTGAGTGGTTAATAACTTTGAGAGAGATTCCTAGCATCTAACACCTATTTCGGAGATGATCAAATCAATATAACAGTAATAGTTGCCCAAACAACATATTGAATTCTCAGCATAAGTTCGAATAAAAGCAAATTATCAAATCAGTGAAACAAATCCGCGGCGGAGAGTACCACCTCTGACATACTCCGGCCAAAACCTTATGGTATAATAACAATATAAAAAAAAAAAAACCGAACGACGGAATAATACTCACCGCTGTTGCGAATCCGGAGACGAATAAGAAGTCGGTTCCAGATTCTTCGCATAGGGAACACCACCTTGCCCCACCATCGCATTCTTGCCTCCACCATAGCAAACCCTCTCCTGCCTTTTATGGAGGAGAGAGGAAATAGACCAGAGAGGAAGAATATAGCAGAGCAAGTCAGAGGAATGGAGAGTCACCGCAGATTGATTCCGAATCACCTCTTCTAAGCCATCAAACAAAACCCAAAAGAAAAAAGCAAAAATCCCTTAAGCAAGAAGAAGGCACAAAGTTTTACTGAGATTCACACTAAAATAAATAAGATCTCGAACGATTCAAGAATATAAAATTAGCAAGCAGAGAAAAAATCTGAAAAATTAATTAATTAATTAAAGGAAAGAGTGGGGGTTTTAAAAGCGGCATGGCAACTAACTTGTTTCTTTTTCAGTTAAAACTTCTTTTCTTCTCCTCTGTCCTCTGGCTCCCTCGGGTCGCCTGATAAACTAATGCTTTTCGTTCGCTAACGTTTCGCGCCTGACGTAACCACCTTCCTTGAAATTTCGCCACGTGTCCCTCGCAAACCCGCTGCATCCGTGTCCGGATCCAATGCTCATGTCCCGCTGATTACGACGCGTTCTTCTAGGTTTAATTGACGGGTTTGGTGTTGGTCGCCTTCAGACCCCACGTGTCGGAATATCATTGGTAGTCAGTTTTTGGAGTTTGTAGGTTCCTGTTAGTTTAATTATTTCTTCTGTGGGGTCCACGCAAACATGAAAATGCGTGCTCTTTGGCAGCACCACGCTTTCTATGGCGCGTGTGGACAAACTCCTCAAATATGCCCAAACAAGTCATGGCGTGTGGCGGACGTACAATCGAAGAGGGGGAAATCGAGAAGGGTTTGAAGTCAGTGAGGAGTATTTTAATGCGCCACGTCGAATTCAGCATCTGACTTTGGAGAGCCACGTGGTATTCTGAGACTGGTTGGACGAACCGACGGTTTAATCACAGTTATGGGTCTCAACAGTCGAACATGCATCGTTTGTGATTAGCGTTGACTTAGTCGATGATCTCAGGCTCGAGGACTGGTGCCAGAGGAAAGAAAGAAGAACAAACAGAGAAAAAGAAAAAAAAGAAAAAAAAAAGAAAAAAGAGAGAATTATCGCATCAATTAAATTTAAGTTTAATTAATTATTTAATTGTCATGTTAGGTACGTCTCTTCAACAAGGTTACGTGGATGTAGTTTTTTAAATCATTTCGGTAGATGTAAAACTGGTGCGGCCACCATGGTTTAGCTCTCGCCCTCTAAGTGGAGAGATAGGGAGATAAATAATTGATTGCCGTCCATGGTTGTCCTTTTTTCACTCATTAATTTATAATTTGGTTGGTATAATCATGAACTAAATTTTTTTGTTATTGTGAACATTATATTTCTAATTATGCTATTTTACATTTAGTCCTAATGATATATTGTAATATTCGAATTTAAAATTTAATTCGGTATTAATTTTAAAATTAAAAAATATATAAAAATTTTATTTTAAAATTAATAGAATTAAATTTAATATAAATTTATATAAAAAAAAATAGGTTGATGATAAAATTAAAAACAATTTATAAAAAAAAAATAAGTGAAAATTTAGGTTCAGATGATGTTTTTGAAAAAAAAAATCAAAAACTTTAGGTCAGAACGCAATTAATAAAAATTGCGACACGTAGGACTGCTCAGTCAGCAGATTCGACGAATTAGAGCGCACCGCGTGGTAAAACACGTTGACTCAGTACCACACGGGAGGTCACGCTGACAATCCGCGCGCACCGCAAGCTGACGG